ATCTTAACAACATAAGATACGCAGGTTAAACAGTATTGATAGCAAATACGGAACAGAAATTAAAAAATCTCCTACAGAAGGTAGAAACGAGGAGTGAAAAGAAGGGACTAAGCATAGATTACAAGAAGACAGAATGCATTGCCATCAATAAAAGGATGAGCCCGAAATATGATTTGCAAGTAAGAGACACTAGAATCAAGCAGACGCGGAAGTTTAAATATCTGGGAAGCGTCTTGACAGAGGACGGTAAGTGCAACACTGAGATCCGTAGACGGATTGGGATGGCCAAAGACGCATTCCAAAAGCTGAGCAAAGTATTGCGAGACAGGAGGATTTCTTTGGTAACAAAGAAAAGAATACTGAGCTGTTACGTGACATCTGTTCTTTACGGCAGCGAATGTTGGACGATTTCCTCAAAGATGAAGAAGAGACTCGAGGCAACGGAGATGTGGTTCTACAGAAGGATGCTAAGGATATCATGGGCCGAGCGTGTGAGCATCAATAAGGTCGTAGAGATGATGCAAACAAGGAGGAGACTTATACTTAGCACCAGGAACACGCAGATGATGTCTCTGGAGCACATAATGAGGAAGGAGGGCCTGGAGAATCTGATACTTACGGGTCAGATAGAGAGAAAGGGTGACAAAGGAAAACAACGCATGACATACCTAGCAGCTATTAGTTGCGGATGACAGAACTTGGTCTGGGGGAGGAAGCAAAGGGAAGGGAGACAGGAAGCTGAAGAGCTATGGTCACCTACATTCTGAAAGGACACGGCAGATAGAAATTCTGACAAATTTGGGAAAGATAATAGTACAATCCAGTACTGGAAGCAACCCGCCTGTATCCCGATATATAGTGAATTCAATAAATATACAACAATTAAAAGGGGCGTAAGATAAGGATTTATCCTCTCACCACGTTTTTTCAACCTTTAGGGTGAGACGTTTCTGCGTGAATTAGAATTCCTACCAGGATTCATAATTGGCAGTCATAACCGTATCAATATAACGCAGATGACAGTATGCATAGGAGACACGAAGATTAATCTACAGGCATCCCCTTGTAGTAAAGGAAAACTAGAAGAAAGGACTAATCATAAATTAAATAAGATAGAAAACCGAACAATTCAAACAACTGCGAGCAACGGACCGGAGACATCAAAATGAAACAAGTACGTCAATTTAAATTATCTAGGATATGTTTTAACAGTGAATGGAAAATGTACGCTGACATTCGAAGAAGTGGTTGAATAGAGAAAAGTGCCTTCCAAAAGTTAAGCAATATATTAAGAAACAGGATTTCGTTAGAACCATAGAACAGAGTTCTGGAGTGTTATCCTATATGGTAGTGAAGGATAGACAATCTCCTCAGAGATGAAGAAAATAAATCAAGCAACAGAAATCTGCTTCTACAGAAGGATGCTGAGAATACTATGGACCGAATATGTGACCAACGACGAAGTTTTATAGGAAATTGAAAAAAAAAAAAAGACACTTACATTAAGATATCAAAAAGTAACAATTGAAAATTCTAGAACATATAATAAGGAAAATTTGCTTGGGAAGCGTAACACTCACAAAACATGTTGGCGATGAGATGAACAGAGGAAAACAGCGAATAACCTACCAGATGAGTTTGAGTAAATGGTTTCTGAAACGAAGATTATGATGGATAGCAAAAAAGATTTATATTGCTAAGAGCTACAAAGGATAGGAAGTTGTAGAGAATCATAATCGCCCACACGTCATGAAAAAACACGGATCATCGAATAAGAATCTGTTATATTGGAGTTTACATTTTTATATCAAATCGATGTTGCTTAATAGCTGTAAAAGAAAAAGTGCAATAATAGTTGCATTGCAAACAAACAAATATAATAAAGGAAAAATACTCAAATAATAATGAGGAAAATATTGCATATAAAAAATTCCGCCAAGTTAAGTGTATTACGGATTATTAGTGCTATGTTTAAATGAGCAGGGCGAATAAGATGGACGAAAAGGTAATAATAATAATAATAATAATAATAATAATAATGTCAATATAAACCGCTTCACGATCAATATTCTGCCTGTACCAAACAAGCTGATGTAAACAAAACCCGTACCTATCAGTGGCTACACAGTGCAGGGTTAAAAGCTGAAACCAAAGATGTTATCCTTGCTGCACAAGACCAATGCTTGTTAAGTAGAAATTATCAAGCACACATGCTAAAATATTGTGTTAGCCCAAAATACAGATTCTATGATAAATATCCAGAAACACTTGGTCAAATTGTATCAGGTTGCACCCACTGAATATAAAACCTGGCATTACAGTGTGGGCCAATATCTGCAATGGAGAATCTGCAACTTCTACGGGAAGGAAACTGAAATAAATTCATATGACCCGGTAACAGAGATAGGACCTGTAACAATTTTATGGGACAGCGCAACACACACAAACAGAACAATCAAAGGTAACCGCCCGAACAATTTTATTAGAGACCGCAAACAAAAAAAAAAGCCTCCTTATAAATATGGCAGTCTCCGCAAACTGCAATTTATCTTTGAAGATCTTCAAAAAGCTGTCAAAATACAAGGACCTTGAAATCGCTATCTCAAAAATGTGTCACATGGGAACATCAACAATCCCTGTTGTAGTTGGAGCCCTCGGATTGGTTGGAAAAGATTCCAGTAGAGTCATTGAAGGGATTCCTGGAAGCCCATGCATTAAAGAAATACAAACATTGTTCTCACGAGTACAACCCACACCTTAAGAAGGGCTTTCTCTGTGTAAGATATGTGTGTGTGTGCTTTTGTAATTGGTTAGCGGAAAATTTCATAATGCCATTTCTGACCTTAGGTCTCTGCGCAGGACAGGGAAAGAAATGTGTATATACCAGCAATGTGTACATACCAAAAAAGGAAATAAAACAACAACAACAACAGCAACAACAACAACAACTATGATAATAACAACAATAATAATAATAATAATAATAAAAATAATAATAATTTTTAATAAAAATTTAATAATCTTTCTCTCTTCCTTCTCTTTTCACACACACATACACGCGAAGAAATCACATTTCTTTTCATCATAACAAACAACTATAAACAAGGAACTTTAACACTCATACACGATGAGAAAAAATTGTTGTAAAATAGACGAAAATAAAAAAAAATTATATATATTTTTAGATTTAAAAACCTTTCTCGCGTTTTCTTTGTTCATTCAAATCCGCAACCGTTTCCGTAATAAAATAATAATCTATCTGTATTAAAACATTTTTTAAATCGCGTTATGCTCTGTTATTACCTCAGAGAAGTAATGGAACATTCCGTTTTTGATTGCGAGAAAAGACGAAAGGAAAACTTATAATAGCGCGACCGTCAGATTTGTTGGGGAAGCGAAGAATGGAAGACAGATGTTGTCGCTGTTGTTGTTACTGCTGTAGAGGTTACTTTTTTCTTCGCCTCAACAAACCTGAATTCCAGGAAAATAAATACATCGAATTTTGGGTAAATAAATGTCTAATTTATTTACATATATAAAAAGCCATCAAACTATCACCCGTTTCTGTTGTAAAGGCGATAGATTGGGAGAGGGAGAAAGAAAGAGAAAGAGAAGAATATTGGTGGCTGTCGGCTGATGTTCTATGAAGACGGCAGCGTCGGCGTTGAAGGTTAAAATTGATAGCATCACGTTCAGTGTTCTCGGCCAGTCTCTGCGTGTCGATATCTCAGCCGGGTCTCTCACTCTGACCTTGGCGGCATTGAATCGGGGAATTTATATCAGTCGTATCGGCTCCAAATCACAGTTTATGTCTTTTAGTGGGTATCATTTTTACTGCCCAATATATAGTTCATTTCATTTAATACCGAAAACATGCGTTGAGCCACGACGCAGAGAGACGAGTTTTCGCATTCTGCTTTGGGTCGTCAAGCAGTCAACATGCGGTTTATATAAAAGAGTTTAAGAGACACAACAGATTTTAACGAGAAGACGAAATAATACATGATAAAAAGTAAAAAGAAAAAAGAAAAAGAGAAACAAAAAAAGAACAGAAAATAGAGAAAGGTAAATAGAGAAAAGAAATGTCTGGAAGGAAGAGGAAAGACTGAAATTATTTATAATAATAAAATGGACGTTTGTACAATATTATTCATGTTTCATTAGTAAGAATACTTCGTTATTGAAATATACCATAACATTTTCACGGGTATTAATTTTAATTATAAAACTATATATAAGCAATTAAAAATACATAACAATGCTACGAGTATGGGTAAACAAGCGTAAAATTAACATGAAAGAAAAGCTAGTCAATAAAAATATTAATGTCAGTAACAGATATAAGAACTTCAGACTATTTAATATTACAAAGTTTTATTTCTACACCGTGGAACCAAAAACAAGATGAGAGATGAAAAGAAAAATATAACTTGTTTCTATTGCAAGACTACATACAAGATGAAGCTATTGATTCAATGTATTTGTTCCATCTCAGGTCATCGGACAGCGTGAGACCAAGCAGTCGTCAAGAGGTGCTCACGTGGAGTTGAGCATCAGACATTCTAATGGGAGGAAAGGAGGGTTCTCGGTGGTGGTTAAAAGAGAACAGTTTTGTATTTGAGGCATTAAAATTAACCAGCCATTTCTTGCCCGAGTCAACAACAGTCCGTTCGTCGCCTCATTCGAGCCCAGCAGCCATATACTGAATTCGCCTAATAAATGCTAGTTAATTGATTTAGTCATTTTCTACGGTTTATCAACCCTTTGCCGGTTATTTAAAGGCGGAACATATTCGTAGATTGTAAGAATTTCTTTTGAGATAATGATGGTTTAATGATACAAGTCTTCCTAATTAACCCATGGCTGGGGGAGAAGGAGTGAATTCATATCTTTTCCAAGCGTATTTGCACGTAAGTGAATGCAACGAACCCAACTAGAATTGGAACACGAATTAAAAATTCAGAGCCATTAACAATTAAAGCACTCGTATATACAAGCCG